TATTTGTAGCTGTTGTGGGTGTTTTGATGGCTATTAGCGGCACCACCGAAGGATCTTCACCTATAGTGGGTATTTCCTTTGTAATTGGTGCTTTTTGTTCTGCTCTGGCAGGATTCATAGGTATGAAAGTAGCTACCAAAGCCAACGTCAGAACCACCAATGCAGCCCGTACAAGTCTCGGCAAAGCGCTTGAAGTGGCATTTGCAGGTGGATCTGTAATGGGTATGGGCGTTGTAGGATTAGGACTCTTAGGTCTTGGTACTCTTTTTATCGTTTATACCAATATGGGTTGGGAAATCAACAAGGTGATCACGGTATTGACAGGCTTTTCATTTGGAGCATCATCCATAGCACTTTTTGCACGTGTTGGTGGAGGTATATATACCAAAGCTGCTGACGTGGGTGCTGACCTCGTAGGCAAGGTGGAGGCTGGCATACCAGAGGATCATCCGCTCAATCCCGCCACTATTGCAGATAATGTAGGCGACAATGTAGGCGATGTCGCAGGTATGGGAGCCGACCTTTTTGAGTCATATGTAGGAGCTATTGTTGGTACTATGGTACTTGGTGCTGTTTTTGTTGGTATCACTGGTTTTGAAAGCACCAATGATTTCGGTGGACTAAATGCGATCTTATTGCCATTAGTACTTTCAGGAGTAGGTATATTAACATCTATTCTGGGTACATTTTTTGTAAAGGTGGGCGATGGCGGAGATCCCCAAAAAGCACTCAACAAAGGGGAATTTATTTCTGCCGCTTTGATGCTTGTAGCCACATTTTTTATAGTGGATTGGATGCTTCCTGAGTCATGGAGTGATGCTGCAGGAACTACATTTACATCAATGGGTGTATTTTGGGCAGTCATCATAGGTCTTGTGGCCGGTCTTGCGATAGGTATCATCACAGAATTTTATACAGGTACGGGAACAAAACCTGTAAAATCCATAGTCAATCAGTCCCTCACCGGAGCTGCAACCAACATTATAGCAGGTCTGGGAGTAGGGATGATGTCCACAGCACTTCCTACATTAGTGCTTGCAGCAGGCATTATAGGTGCTCATTATTTCGCAGGATTGTATGGTATCGCCATTGCGGCAGTAGGTATGCTCTCCAACCTCGGTATCCAGTTGGCCGTTGACGCTTACGGTCCTATCTCTGACAATGCAGGGGGTATAGCAGAAATGGCAGACTTGCCTAAAGATGTAAGACAAAAAACAGATAAACTCGACGCTGTAGGAAATACTACTGCAGCCATTGGTAAAGGTTTCGCCATAGGTTCGGCTGCTTT